AATCGTGTGTGCCTTGTACTAGAGACAGGGAAAGTTTGCAAAATAACACCCCCGGACTCCCAGCAGCCCTCACCCCCGGAGAAGATAAGCCAAGAGCAAGCTGGCGCTAAAGCTGCCACTGCCCACTGCCGTATAGTCAAATCCTCGGAATCTCCTCCTCACACACCTAGGTGCTCTGGGCAGAGCAAGCGGCCACTGGAGAGCTCTTGTAGATAACAGTGACGCTGCTTCCTTTTCTCACGAGTGTTTTTAAAGTCCCACTGCGTTGCCAGGCATAGTGGTGCACGTCTTTAATCCCAGCACTCGGAGGAGGCAGAGGCAGGTAGATCTCTGTGAGTTCGAGGCCAGCCTGGTCCACATAGTAAGTTCCACGACAGCCAGAGGTACCATAGTGAGATCCTATTTCAAAAAGAAAATAAATAAATACATAAAGTCCTACTATGCAAGCTGGGGTGCACACCTTTAATCCCAGCACTCAGCGAGGCAGAGGCAGGTGGATCTCTGTGAGTTCGAGGCCAGCCTGGTCTACAAAGCGGGTCAAGGACAGCCAGGGCTACGCAGAGAAGCTCTGTCTCAAAACGAAACAGCTGTGTTGGTGGAACTGGTGACCTAGCTTTCTGGGCTTAAGGAGCTAATATTCTGTAAGGGAGACCAACACTTGTGCAGTTTATTAGATGTTCTTATTTGCATGTATGCACATGCGTGTGTATATCAAAGTGGCATTTAGCGACAAAAATATATGAACAACACCTATGGAGTACAAGAAAAGCCTCGCTGTTATGGGAGGCGTAATAGTTAGTTCATGTTTTGAGGGATGAATAGGAGTTTGGCTTGGGGAACTGAGTGAGTGAGGAAGCTATTCCTATCTCAGAGCATAGCCAGCTCTCCTGAATTCACCTTCCTGAGAACCTTCTGTACCCATAAAGGCAGGCAACGGAGAGCTTGGGTTCAGAAGAGGAGGACGGGAAGGATAGGAAGAACCTTCGAAGGTTATAACAGTGCTTCTCAACCTTCCTAACGCTGTGACCCTTTAATACGGTCCCTCGTGTTGTGGTGACCCCCAAAACCACAAAACTGTATTCTGTTGCTTCTTCATAGCTGTAATTTCGCTGATGTTATGAGTCGTAATGTGAATATCTAGTATGCAGGGTATCTGGTATATGACTCTCAAAGGGGTCTCCGGCCCACAGGTTAAAAACTACTAGAGAGATTCCCTCTTCAGACAGCCTTGGGCGAGGGAGCGCTGGTGTGGGCCACGGGATAGGAAGCCTTTGAAAGCCTGTCCATCCAAGGGCTATTTAGGATGGAGGGGGTGTTTAGGAGGAGATTGAAAGACAGGACCCAAGGCTATGGAGAAGAAGAGGAAGAAGAGGAGGAGAAGAAGGGGGAATTGAGGAGGAAGAAGAGGCTGCTACACCTAGCAAAAGCAAGGTTGGAGTGAGGAAGACTTGAGAGTTGGCTAGTTAGGGTCAAAACATACCCTGGGGAAGGAGCCAGGGAAATCAGAACTTTTTTTTTTGTCTTGTTTTATTTATTTATTTATTTTGAAGCCCCGGTGCCTTTCTCTGTCAGGAGAGGCAGCTGTGAGTTTGCTGGGTCTAAGACTGCTTTGAGAAACCTGGACACGCAGCAGCTGTTTCTCCCTCCGGAGAGATACCCATCTGAAGGTCAAGGGAACGCCTCAGGGTAGCACTGCCCACGGCCAGCAGCTGGGCTGAGGTGGGTTTGTGGGAGGTGACTATGTACGTACACACACACATTCTCCCTTTCTGTTTACCTACACCTATCACCACCTCCTCCTCCCTTCTTTCCTCCTCCCCCCTACCCCCCCCCGCCCCACCCCGTTGGTTTCCCTTCCTCCCCCTCCTCCTCCATCTCTATCCTTCTCCTTGGCAGTCTGAGAAAAGCTGATTCTTTGAGCAATTTTAATATTTTGAGACAGATTTCTCTGTGTAGACCAGGCTGACCTGGAACTGGTGATCCTCCTGCCTCACCTCCTGAGTGCTGGGGTTATTGCACCTGGTGTATTATTTTAAGCACCCCTCCCCCCCATAACTACCTCTGAGCAGGAGGAGGCTCTGTGAGGGTTCTAATGAGCCTTGCCCACACACCAGGCTGCCCTGGCTTCCTCCAGTGAGATCTTCAGGAGGGGCATCAGGTCAGGAGGGAATCCCAGTCCCCCCCAGCCTGCAGAGGAGCTCTGGGTGGGGGAGAGCAGACAGCCTGGGAACCGGTCTGCCAACCAGTTCAACCAGAGACTGGTTTCAACCCGGGGAGTTCAAAGGAGCTGTGATGCCCAGCCCGCTAAGGCCCTTAACCCTTTCCCTGGTGTGCCCTGACAACATCCAAGTTGGCGGCTTAAGCAGGAGAGGGGTCTAAGCCTCTTTGGAAGAGAAAATGGGTGGGGGAGGCTTTGGAGCCAGTTTCAGAATGCAACCAGACACCGAAGAGCAGGAAAACTGAGGAGGGAGGCTCCGTGCTCCCCCATGCCAGATGTCCCTTGGGATCCTGTCCTCTAGCTTGGTGATCCCAGGAGGGACCCTAGCTCCTGGGTGGATGCGGGGGCACCGGGATTGGATTTCTGGGGTGATGAATATTCATCAGCCTGAGCCAGCCTCTGCTTCTGTTTACTTAGCTGGGAGGGGCCCTGGGTTTCAGGTTCACCTTGACTCCGCGAGCCGCAGAGCTGCTCCAGGTACCTGCTGCTGCACCTGTTTCTCTCACACCTGCCCTGCAGCCGCTCCTACCCACCTCTCCAGGCTGAGGGTGGCCAGCACGGCACCCTGGAGACACCCTCTCCTCCTCCTCCTCTTCCTCCAGTCTCACCTGCCTGGGCAGCTCCTACGTTCAACTCCTCTAGGAAATAGTCTTGCCTCCAGCCCCGAGCGGTCCGGAGGATTACAGGTACCCGAAGCAGGGACTGGTGGGTGGGGAAACCGAGAGCCCGGGTTCTGACTCCTGCCTCCATGGTGGATGAGAGCCCGGCAGACTCCATCCAGTCTCACCTCACTGGCCTCTTGGAGAAGGTCCAGGCCTCCAAAAAAAAAAAAAAAAAATCCTGCAGAGAAAGTTTCATTTTTAACTCCTAGCTCAAGACCCCTCCTCTGGCCCACAACCCCGGACGTCAGTGTATCTGGCTATCTGGTAGAGACATCTTCCACCACCCATCCAGTCTCATTCAGGGTGGTCAAGGGTCCCAAAGAAGGAGGGGAGCAGCTTCCACAACACGGAACTGGCTCCCTCCCCTGCACCCCCCACCCCGCCTCAGTCAATGGTTAACTTGTCCAGCTCAGTAGAAGCTTGGCCGCTCTGGGCAAAGCCCTTCAGAAAGTGTCCTAGTTGGGGTGATGGGGCCTGTCTTGGGCGCTCATGTGGATGCCATGGTGCTAGCCACCAGAGGCAGGAGGTGACAAGTTGTCTCACGAGGACTTTCACTGGCCCTGAAGCCACGCAAACAGCAGATCCCATGATTGCAGGGCCCAGGGCAAGGGCCCAGCCCTCAGCCTGGCATCTTGGGGTCCAACTAGCAGGTCTCTGTGTCCACCACCAGGACCCCCTGGCTTTCGGAGATCACTCATGGGCAGGTGACTGGAAACAGTTAACTCTTTACAACCCCGGAGGTCTGAGAAGCAAGCGTGTACACCACGGCACTTTTTGTTGTTATTTGTCCATTTTGTTTTATTTTTAAGACAGGGTCTCACTCTGGAGGCCAGGCTGAACTAGAAACTTATTGGGTAGATCAGGCTGGCTTTGAACTCACTGTGATCTCTCGCCTGAGAGCTGAGATTGCAAGTATGTATCAGCTTAATACCTGTTCTTTGTTTTTAGGCAGAGTTTCTTCCTTCCTTCTTTTCCTTTTTTTTTTTTTTTTGGTTTACAGAGACAGGGTTTCTCTGTGTAGCCCCGCTATCCTGGAACTCTCCCTGTAGACCAGGCTGGTCTCGAACTTAATCCACAGTCCTCTACACCACCACTAACCCTGCCAGACAATTTCTTTCACCATCCTGGAGCTCTGTGTGTAGAGCAGGCTGACCTTCAACTCACCGAGATCCTGCCATCTCTGCCTTCTGGATGTTAGGAATAAAGTCAGGTGCCACCAGCCCAGGCAGATTTTTTTTTTTTTTAAATGACCTGGTCTCACTAGTGAGCCCAGACAGATTTTATACTGTCTTTTATGTGCACTAAAGACTCTTGGAGCTGAGGTCTGAGTTATTATGAAAAGCGCAGAATAGAGCGTCAATTTCTGTGTTTTACAAGTTCAGATTTCCATGTGTTTGCCTTGCCTCAAGGGACAAACACTTATTCAGGTGTTTAGGTGTCCTGGATGGAGAGGACAGGAAGGCCAGCGAAGGCATCATCCTCAGAGTCCAGGGTACAAGTCCAGGCCAAAGGGCACCAAGGCAAGGCTCTAAGCTCTTCCCATTTAAGGTCTTCCGGCCAGTTCCTCGTGACCTGTGGCCTCAAGGTATGCCATCTTGATAGGCAGTGACCTGAGAAGGCAGAAGCCCCTCTCCCAAACAGGGCTAGGAAATCGGGTGCTGAGGAGTAGATGCAGGAGCTGGGCCAGCCAGCCAGCCAGCCCTCCGTTTCCCCAAGTCTCTGCTCCAGATGGGCAGGGTCGGGTCGACAAAGACAGCTACCGGGCTGCACCCTGTTCCTCCCTCCTCGCCCTCCCACAGCTCCTTCCAGTAACCCACTCTGGAACACCGAGTTCTGTGCTAGGCCGTGCTAAGCCCAGGCGGGGCACTCTGCCAAGGCAAACCTCTCAGGCTGTCCCTTGGTGCACTCAACTCTCCGGGTGCCTGGAAGTACCCCCCCCCCCCCCAGCCCTCTGTCTCGCTCCTCCGTGCTCTAACTGGGAGCCGAACAAGGCTTCCCTTTAGCGTCTGTCACTCGAGCCTGGCTAAAGGGGTGGAGTGGGCAATAAGGGGTCTGCTTTGTGCACAGAGTAATGGCAGGGTCTCCTAGGCTGGGGCGTGGGGGGAAGGGAGAGTGTGTAGAGGGGCAGGAGACAGTACGAAGGGAGAGGGCTAGAGGGGTTCAGCTTGTTCCCAGGACGGTGTCTTGCTTTTGTTTTTCTTCTGAATTGTATATACTCTCCTCACTCCCAAATACTCTTAATGCATTATGGAAATTATGAAAATCAGAGAACCAAAGGGGGAGAAAGCAGTATCCTATATTTCTTCTACATCAAAAAACAAAAACAAAAAAACACACACTGCCACTCCAATTTGTACTTGTCTTTCTGGAGGTTTTCTAAAATGTAATGAAAGACCGTCAAGATTGGGGTGTTTGCTGCGGGGGATTAAACCCAGAATTTGGGGTAAATGAGGCAAAGGCTGCACCACTTAGCTATGTCTTCAGCCCCCTTCATTATCAGCTTTTTTAAAAATTACATTTCTGTTCTGCTTTCTGTTTGTTTAAGATGCAGTCTCACTTCGTAGGCTTGGCTGGTCTAGAACTCACTAAATAGACCAGGCTGGCCTTGAACTCAGAGACCTACCTGCCTCTGCCTTCCCAATGATGAGATTAAAAGGTGCACACAAATCCTGTCTTGCCTAAATTAGAGTTAAGAAAATTATTTTCTGTAACTGGGTGCAGTGGCGTTCACCTGTAATCCCAGCACTCTGGGAGGCAGAAGCAAGTGTGAGTTGGAGGCCAGCCTGGTCTACAAAGTGAGTCCAGGGATACACAGAGAAACCCCGTCTCAAAAAACCAAAGGGAAAAAAAAAATTGTGTGTATACAGGGGCGTGCCATGGTGCATCAAGTCAGGGGAGGGCTTTTGAGAGTTGGTTCTCTCCTTCCACATGTGAGCCTTAGAGATGGACTCGGGTCACTAGGCTTGGTAGCAGGTGTATTTGCCTGCTGGCTGTCTCAAAAGCCTCACCGTCAGCTTTTAAAGAAGGTAACAAACGCGGGTCTGGGCTGGGTGGCCATCTAGCTTTCTGGGATCTACTGGCTTCTGCACCCTCCTTCCCCCTTCCCTGGAACTGTCTGGTGTGAGTCTAGGTTCATAAGACCAGGCCGCCAACCTCTCCAGGCTCAGAGATGCCTTTGCTTGTGCCGATGAGTTCCCTCTATAGAGGTGAATTCCTCCAGACTTCTGTCCCCTCGGCCTGTCTTTCTTGCTGTCTGTGCTGTGTGCGTCAGCAATGGCTGGAGAGCGTCATTCCCCAGGCCTTCCTCCAGCTCATAAGCACCTTTGTGGAAATTAATAAAAGATGAGGCCTGCGTGGAGGCCATGTCGGGGGCACATGGCCTGTGAGCGGAGAAGCCTGGGTTTCAGCCCCCAATCCCACATCATCCATTATGGAAGGGTACAGTACAGCCTGTGAGGATGACAGGTCGGGCTCCGCCTGGCTGCCTTGCAAATTTTTAACTCCCCTTCAAACACCTGTCCTGTGGCAGCGTGGTGGGAGGGAATTGGGACGGGTCCGCTAATGATTACCCCACCTCCCAAGTTTTCCTTTGCAAAGCAGGTCAACCTGGGTAGAGGGGCAGTAATGGTTGGGCTGACTGCTAGGGCTGTGTGGGATGGATAAGGACACTGAGCACCAGAGAAGGAACTTGGCTAGAAGTCAGGAGGCAGGACCCAAGATCTCCCGGTCCTAGACTGCAGCGGCCTTCTCCCCGGGAAAGGCGCGTGCTGTTGGGAATGACAGGAGGCTGGAACTATGACAAATTCTATTTAACTCTGTCCTGTGTTTCTGCCGGTGTGGCCTGTCAATGGTCTGCCAACCCTGGGCAGTGGTGGGAAGGACTGGGTCCTGGTGTCAAAGACCCAGATATGTGTAACTAGCCTATAGACTGTAGGCTTGGAAGAGAAGAGCTCCAAGCTCCCTCTGCAGCTTTGGAAGGCCATGGGTAGGGTTGTCTCACTGTCTCACTGCCTGGCTCAGTGTCTTTCCTCTTCATGGCTGCTTTGAAGGCTCTTTCCCCAACTCTTCAGTCCTGCCTTCAATTCTTACAGGGCCTCACCATGTAGCTCAGGCTGACCCCCCCCAACTCACAACCCTCCCAGCTCAGCCTGTGTGTTGGGATTACAGGCCTTAGCCGGCACACCTGCCTCTGTCTCTTAAAATAGCCACTAACTATGAATGAGCCTAGAGAGGGCTGGCCCTTTCATCCAGTTCACCCACTGACCTTTGTCTCTGCCACTTGGCTCAGCAGAAAGCCCTGCCTGGCCTTAGGGACCACCATGACTGAAGTTGGTTGGTGGAAACTGACCTTCCTGCGGAAGAAGAAATCCACGCCCAAAGTGCTCTACGAAATCCCTGACACCTACGCCCAAACGGAGGGAGGCGCAGAGCCCTTGGGACACGACAGTGGAGACCCTCACAGCGACTTCAACAGCCGCCTGGAGAAGATTGTGGACAAGAACACCAAAGGCAAGCATGTCAAGGTCTCCAACTCTGGCCGCTTCAAAGAGAAGAAAAAAGTCCGAGCCATGTTGGCGGAGAACCCCAGCCTCTTTGATGACAGGGAGGACAAAGGACAATGAAGGCAGCCGAGGAGGACACTAGCACCTCCCTGTTCCCTGCCACTCGTGGGGTCTGAGGCAGGAGCTTGTTACGCTGGCCTCTTTGGTCATAGCTAAAACCACGGTGGTGGTTGATCCCTGCTGGCAGGAACACCTGGTTCTTAGGTTTGTATTTATGTGCCCCAGCTTTACGAAGGGCCTGTGAGACCCCAAGGGTCCTCGCCCCATGATCACATACAGAGACGCTCTGGTCCACCATGAAAATTGTCACTTAGAAGTACTGCCATCCTTGGCACAGTGGCTTCACAGAGAACAGACAGGGAACAGGGCAGACTCCACCCTCTCCCTGGCACAGGGTTAAAGGTGAATTTGAATTGCTGCTCTCTCTACTTTCTCTACCTGTGACTGTTCCCTGGACCAATCCTAGAAAGGCAGGGTTGCGAGGAAGCCACGTGACAGTGGTTTCTTTGGTGCCAGAGGCGGAGTGCTGAACTTGAGATCACCTCTTAGTTCAAGGAGTAAACTTCCTGGAACTTTGCTCCCAGGGGCGAAGGATGTGGCACTCCCCAGGGTGCTGCAGAAGGCCAGACGGGGAATCCCCCTGAACCCTCGCCTTGACCACCACTTGTGTGGGTGCCAGGTTACACACCCCAGCCCAAGGGTCCAAAGTGGAGGAGTGAACGGCTTTCCTCCATGCCTTCCCTGGTAGTATTTGAGATGGATCAGCCCCAGGAGTCAATCCCGGAGCCTTGAATTTTGTTTGAAAAGTTATGGTAGGTTTTACTTAGGAATAAACAATGCTGCAGAAACAAAGGTCTTATTTACACTCTTTATGGGATGTTTCTACATCCGTACCTTCCTTGGTCTCATCAGACGTCAGGAAGGGGCCCCAAGTGTGAGGGTGTCAGTAAACCCGCCACCCAGCTTGGCTTCACATGGCAGGGGAGAAGGGAAGGAGACAGATGCCCGTGAACAACGGTGAGGCCGAAGGGGCTGTCAGAGAGTGGGGCAGGCCTTTGATCACAGGCCCGGAGTCTCTGTTGGGCTCAGGGCTTCAGTCTGGGACCAGCAGTTAAATTCTGGTGCCACCAGTTAGGAGCTTGATGGAGCCCAGGGAATCTTTATAACCTCAGCTCTGGCTGAGATGGGAGGACTGCAGGTTCAAAGGTCAGCCTGAGGTGTACAGAAAGGCCCTGCCTCAAGAAACACAACAGAAGCCGCTGAAGGCCGCTGGGGGTTTCCTTCCTCCTCCTTTTCTTACAGAATGCCCCCATCCCCACTGCTTCAGTGTAAGAACCAGGGGAGAGTTCTTTCTCGCCCTGTAACATTAGGTCTGGTTCTTGCTCAGGCCACAGGACTTGAGAACTGGGAGGGTGGATCATCCAAATCCCTAGAACTCACGGTGGGACCAGGGGAAGACTGAGGTGGCCACTCAGCTTCCAGTCAGCTCCTCCAAGGGCGCTGGGCCACTCCACCCTAGGGAGCTGTTGCTGAGGAAGTGTATTGCCAAAACAAACATACCTATACAAGGAGACCTTTGTTAGCTGCCTCACCCAGGCCAGGGGAACTTGAAGGGAGGCAGACCAGGGGCTGAATAGAAAAAAAGATGTCGAGGACCTTGCTTTTACTTTAGCCTTTTGCACCCCTTCCTTTTCCCCAGAACTTTCTAGGTCTCATGAGTTACTCAGGTCATACAGTCTCCCACAAGGGTCTGAGACGTCCCCCAATCTTGCAACCTTGCTGTTGCTAGCAGCCACGTACCCTGCTTACAACGGGGTGTCTTTCTAATCCGCCCCCACACCCCCATCACTGACAGGTGCTGCTGTGAGTTCACTGAGGGGCAGAGCAGTCGGGCACTTGGTTAAAGGGAGAGCTGGTCTGCTTGCATGAACCCTGACATCCTGCCCCACCCCCGGCACTTTCTATTCTCCACTGTCTTCCGTTGTATGTTGGAGTGGTAAGGCAGGAACAATCAGTTATCTTCTACAGAATGGGGCTGGGGATGAGACAGGGCAATGTTTTATGTCTTAGGCCACTGGGAGGTGACTGTCCCCAGGGGGAATGTGCAGGCTCCGGAACCAATGGGAGAGCCAACTGGTTAGCTAAGGGTACCCTCCAGGAACCATACTGCAGGTCCCTTTGACATCAGCCCATCCCAAGATTATGTAACCCCGGGTAGGGAATGAAGATTGGTATAGATTTGTGTCTGGTTTTGCTTTTCGGAGACAGGCGCTCACACTGCAGCCCAGGTGGGCTTGGAACTCACTCTGTAGACCAGGCTGACCTCAAAGTTACAACAGTGCCCCGCCCCTGCCTCCCAAGTATTGGGATTACAGACACGATCCATACCACCCGGCTTCTATCTTCTTCCACTCCCCCCCACCCCTGCCTCCTCTCCCCAATCTAATGCCAAGGACTGAATTTACAAGTGGCTAGATGGTGCTCTATGGCTGAGCTGTAACCCAAGCATTTCCTCCCAAGGGCTCCCTGGTCTCTAAGCCTTTCATATGCACTACCACAAGCCCAGGATGATCTCTGCAGGAACCTTCCGGGGAGTCGGCCCATGTCCCCCTAAACTGGCTGGCTAGAGAGCTCTAACTGCCCCAGAGCGCCCAGGCAAGGCAGGTACACATTTTCAGGAGCTGCTAGAGGAAGGAGGAGGGGGAGCCAGGAGTGCAAATATGTGTGGGAACCCCAGCCGGGAGAGGCTACGGTTATCAACCAGTTTCACTGGGAAGCAACCCAAGCAGAGAAAGGGGGAGGCAGCGAGGCTGCCTGTAACTGGCCTCCACTGCCCAGTAGAGGGCAACCCTAGCCAGCAGTCTGCTGGACCCTGCCTCTCTGGCCAGAAAAGCAAGAAGGGAGGAAAGTCCTGTAAATCCACTCCCCAGCTTCCCTGTCTGCTGAGGTGCCTCGTGGGGGCAGACCAGATGAAATCAGGTTAAACATTAATATCACACACGGCTGACAAGTTTTTATTACACACCTGTGCGATGGAAGTGACAGCTGAGATCACACTGAGACCTGGGGGCACACACAGCCCCCTAACAGAGGTGGGGTACAATACCTCTCCTCAACAACCCGCTGTCTGTACTACTACAGTCACAGTCCATGGGACATCAGCGAAAGGGGTGAGGTAGGTAGGGGTAGCTGGCAGCTGGCCATAGGGTCAATGTCCTTCCTGGACCCAGGCTTAAATGGGAGGCGGGGAACAACACAGGAGAGGAGGAGCCTTGGGAGGAGCCTTTGTCAGGGACAGAGGCTGAAGCACACAGCCACAAAGTCAAAAGAAGTACAGTGTCCCCAAAGAAACAAGTTCACGGCCAACCAGAACAAATAATGGTTCTCTGAGTCACAGCAAACATGGCCTGGCCCTGGCTCCTTTCTGCAGGTGGTAGGCCTTTTGTATGTCTGCCCTGTTCCTGGAAGCGGAGTCACACCAGCCATAGCTCCCAAGATGGGCTTTCCCCAAAATCACGAGCAAAGCCAAGGAAATAATGCTGAGAGCCTTCTCCACTTGTGATTCTCCTCTATTGCACGCCACTCCAGCTGCTAACCGACGCCAGCCGAGTTCAGGGACCTCGGAGGGTGAGTCCTGGAGAGACTTAGATGTGAGGGACAGAAAGGGTGGTGGACTTAGCTTAAAAACAAGGCCCAGAGCTGGGCCTGGTGCCACAGGCTGCAAACACTGCTACGCAAAAGATTGAAGCAAGGGGACTCACGGCAAGACCAGTCTGGAATAAATACACAGTGAGTTTAAGGCTTAGTCTTAAAATAAAAGGTAAAAAAAAAAACAACTGGGATTCTAGCTCAGTGGTAGAGTGCTGCCTAGCATCAACAAAAGCCTAGGTTTAAACCCAATGACGCACACACACACACACACACACACACACACACAGACGCAGAGAATGAGAGAGAGAGAGAGAGAGAGAGAGAGAGAGAGAGAGAGCAGGCTCCCAGTCCTTCACCCCCTCTTAACAGCTCTGTCCCACTCTCTTCCAGCCGATCTTTTCCAGTCTTTGTCCAGAGTCAAGGTGCAAGTCTCTCGTATACCCAGTCTTCCTCCCCTTGGTGGCTCATGGGTCCCAGAGGGGAGCCTCCCGCCGTCAGGTCTCGACGGAAGACTATCCGGTCATGCAGGCGGTTGGTTTGGCCTTGCCAGAACTCCATCACCTGGGGGTACAGGATGTAGCCACCCCTACGGAAGAAGCACAGGTTGACATGCTGTGCCCGCGTCCCCTCTCATCCCAAGCTCTCTGGCAGGAAGCTCCTGTGAGCAGCTGAGGCCTTCCCAGAGAAGGGGATCTATAACTCCACAGACAGGGCCCCAGTATCCCTTCCTGGATAGCCACCTGGCAGAGGTATCACTTACCAGTATTCCGGCTTAGGCACCTCTTGTTCCCGGTAGAGCTGCTCCAGTTCCTCATTTTTCTTTCTCAGGTACTGTTTGAAGAAGAAGACAGAGGAGGGGTCAGGCACAGGCAATGATCCACTCAAGGACTTCCAAACATAGGCTCCAGGGCAGGACCCAGGCCAGTATGGGGGACAGAGGTGAGGAAGGTAGATTAGGGCCCTGAGCAACAGGAGGGCCAGACAGAAGAGGCCCATTTCCCATCATCCCGCTCTCCTCCCCTAAGGACATCATCCTTTCCTCTGGGCAGGACTGACAGGGTCCTGGCATCTTCTGGAGACAGCCTCTGGGGATAAGCCTAAGGTCCCACTTACCTCCCGATCAGGGATCACAGAGCTCTGGCGGCTGACCACAGCCCCAATCTGGCTGCTCTTGGGGCGGGAATGGAAGTAGCTCTCAGCCTCCTCCTCGGGCAGCCTCTTCACAGGGCCCTCCACCCGCACCTGTTCGTGGATGACGCTGGCTAGGCGATGCCTGCCGCCACCGACCCTTCCCACCAGCACAGGCCCCATTTCTCCCCTCTCTATCAGATGCCCCAACACTCCTGGCTCCCACCAGACTGTCTGAGAGCTGTGTGAGAGGCAGAGTGCCCAGAGCCAGGCAGAATATATGCCCGGCCTGGGGAGCCCTCTCTACATTCATTTATAAATTTGCCCCTGCCCACCTAGACCACCGGAAATTGTCCTGGGGACGGACGCTCACTCACCTGCCGGTTCAGGGGCTCCCAGTAGAAGACAAGAGAGGCAAAGGGATTAGAGTCCTGAAAACAAGAGAGAAGCCGTAGGTACCATCAGAACAGAAAAGCGATCCTTCCTGCGAGTAGGAGGAAGGCAGGAGATGGAGTAAGATACCACCAACAGATGCACTCAGCTCGTTTAAATCCCCAAAGATTGGCCTCCTGTGACACATCTGAAGACAGGCTCCGAGGGGCCGAGTAACACGCTGAAGTTGCCACAGACAGAGGTAGAGCATGGTTTAAGCCAGTTCAGCTGTAGTGTGAGGCCTGGCCATTCCAACCACCACAGATCCTTATCTTGAATATTTTATTGTTTATTCTGTTCTCGTTTTCGAGACAGGCTCCTACTCTGTAGCCTAGACTGACTTAAGTTTGTGGTAATCCTCCTGCCTCAGCCTCCTCCTGGGAGGTGCGAGCCACCACATCCAGCTTACTCAGGGAGCCTTGAGCACCGATGGCAAACGTACCTCAGGGTGGCATGACCAAATACATATGAACTGCCAAGTCCCGTGCACTTTAGACCAGGTGTTGGGGACAAAACAGGTTCAATAAGAGTGGCAGCTTATGGTGTGGCAGAGGAGACAAGGGTCGCTCAAGCAATCCCATTATCAAAACGACAAAGTAAAGCTGTGAGGCGCGTCGCTGGCAAACAGTGCCAGGCGCCCCCGGCAGCAGTAAGTAAGGAAGGCTTCCCTAACTCCCGAGGGTCTCAAGACCTGACGACGTGGCAGCTGACTGGGTAGCAGTGGTCCGTTCACACACACAGTGCAAACGGCCTTGAGGCAAGAGGGAGCCCCGGTAGAGAAACAGATGGATGGAGCAGGGGAATCATGAGAAGACCATGTAAGCCAGGGCGGAGGAGGCTAGCCCTGGGAAGATTTACCCCGACCCTCACCAGCTCTTTCCCCTTCCGACTCTCGTAGTTAGTGAAGAAGCGGAAGCCGTCCTTGCCAAAGCCCTTCAGCAGCAGCATGCGGGCGGAGGGTTTTCCGTCTCTAGGGGCACACAGCAGAGCAGCAGGTCAGAGCCCATTCCAGTGTTCTCACCCCTGAGCAACCCCTTCGGCCACGCCCCTTACCGAGGCAAACATCACACGGACAAATGCACAGTCACAAGCTGAAAAGAGGGGGGAGGCAGAGAGCCAAGCTGTGGGGTCCAATGCCATCAAACAATGCCCTCGGGAGCTTGAACTTCTTCTGGAGGTACAAGTGTGATTCCACGGTCTGGGGCCTCCTTTTAGTCACATCCCACTAAGGGATGTATGGAGCACAGCCCTAATCACTGTGTGACTATGCTTAGAAGATAAGGCTTCAAGGGAGGCAATTAAGATGACAAGCAGTCAGAGGGATGGGACGCTCTCTAATCCACTAAGACAGATGTCTGGTCACATGACGATACAGCAAGAGGGCGACTGTCTTCAGAGGCCAAAGCAGACACCATCCCTGACAGCCTCTTGCTCTTAGGCTTCTAGCCTCCTGAAGTGTAAACAGTTAACTTCCTTGCCTAAGCCGCCCAGCCCTAGTGCTTTGCTATGACAATGCCAAAAAACTTGTAACACTGGGAGAGAATGGACCAGTATCAAAGCATCGAGCCAACTGATCACTCAGAGGGACAATGGCGGACGGTCTTCCGCCCAGAGCTCTGGGTAACACTCAGAGAGGGTTAAAGCCCTGTTTTGACGCCTGGTGCTTTAGGCGAATAACAGGCTAACATAAGAGATTTCTCAAAGGGTATGACGGATTGGCAAGTCCTATGTTGGGTTTTCAGAGAGGGAGAGGGCCTCAGGAGCAGTCCCGGGAGATGTAGCCTCCCGAAGGGCGAATGGGGCTTGAGCAGACAGGAGTATGAGGGAGGCCAAGGGTCGTGAGTGGACACATCCAGGAGCAAGACGTATAAGGAACTACATTTTACCATCAGTGATCCAGCTTTTTGGTTTACCAGTTAAGGACTGGGTGACTTGGGCTCAGAGAAGACAAGTAACTCAACTGAGGCTTTAAGGGGCACAGAAAGTTGAGTGCGCTTGGTTCGGGTCTTCCTCAGTCTCCAGCTCTGTCTGGAGCCATCCTCCCAGGGGCCTGTGGCTGTGCATACCTGGTACAGGTAGCCAGGCACATGGCGTTGGCTTCCCCGATATCCGGACACTGAACGGCCTCCTCGAACCAGGAAGCAAACTGCTTCATGGGGTCCAGGGAGGTCAGATGAGCCTCCTCAAATGCCTGGGAAGAGAATTTGACTTGGTGAACGCCTAGTGATTACTGTGTGCCTGGTATGTGTTGAGGTGCTTTTCAAACGTAAATGCATTTAACCTTCAAAACGATGACCTTGAAACAAACAAATAAACAAACAAAAAAACGCTACCCAAAAAATAGGTTCTGTGTCCCCCTAGAGGTGATGAAACAGGTATAAAGTGGTTTCTGGGTCTTTTAACCAGGAGGGGATGAAGACGAAGTTCCTGTGGGTCACCCATTATTTTCCACGGAGTGGTTCCAAGGTTTCAAGAAAACCTACATTTTAGTCAAGCACTCCTGGAAATGTTCACATACAATCACACTTAGCCGCTGTAGCTCCGGATCTCAATTCCAAAACGGTTCTCTAGAGTCCCCTGACCTGAGGGTCAGGGTGAAGGAGAAGACCCAGGAAGTGCTGAGGGTGGCAAAAATGAAGAGCTTCCGGGTTAGCCTGGCACTCCCTGTATAGCAGGGTGACCCCGGACTCTGGTCCACCGTGCCTAGTTTATTTGTTACTAAAGACAGAACACAGAACCTTTATACACACCAGGCGAGAGTCTACCAACTGAGCTACAAATCCACCTTCCACTCCTTTATTATTTTACACCATGCTTTATGACTGTTTTTTTAAAGCATTTACAAATGCTTAAAGACAGGCTGGTAGGATGGCTCGGCGGGTATAGGCATCTCCCAAGCCTGACGACCTGAGTTCATTCCTGGCGAAAGAGAAAACCAACTCCTAAAAACTGTCCTCTGAGTCTCTCTCAATGAAAAAAAAATTAGAGAAACCCCAAAACCATAGCATCCTTGTAAAGCAGGTACTAACATTTTACAGGTGAGTAAACTGAGGCCCAGAGAGCATAAATCGCCCATGGTGATACAGTCAGAAAAGGGCTGGGTTCTAAGCCAGGTGGGCTCTGAATCCGTACCCCTCAGCACTGCGACAAGGGCCCATGAGCACACCTTAATCCATGTTTTCCCCCGAGCCCCCCTCCCCGATGGTTGTCTCCAAGTCCCCCTTCTCCCATCAGGGTGACCCCTGAATCCTTGTTGCTCTGTAAGTGGCCCCTGAAGCCCCAAGGCGCTCCTCCAACTCTGGGGTAGATGACCCAGAGACACCCCCTTTCCGCGCCCCGGCAGCAGCGGTGGCACCTCTCGGTCCCCGCGGTAACTCTTGCGCATCGGCCCCAGGTCCATGACAGCACCCCGATGGCACAGGTGACGGAGGTAGCCCGGCCACTTCGCAGGTCGCCTAAACGTCACGGTGACGCTCAGCAGCCCGTACGTCATGCAGGCAGCCGGCCACGTGACCCGGCGTCGCCTGACCCTGGGTTCCTCCGGGTTCGGAGCCAATGGCTCAGCCTGCGCGCCTAGCCCGGGAAGGAAGGATTCTGCCGGTGCCCAGACGAACCCACAGGTCCTCAAGTGTTGGAGCGAAGGTGGCCCCGGGGATCAGCCAATAGCAGAGCGGGATCAGAGCAGGGAGGCTGACGCCAAGAGCTCTTTGCGTTGAGTTTCCTGAAGCGAGGCCAATTAGAGCGGGAACAGGGGCCCCCAGCAGCCAATGGGCTGCGCCCCCGGGGGCGGGAGCAGAGAGACGAGGAAGTGCTGTCACCGCCGTTAACACGCACGTGGAGGTTTGTTAAAGGTGCAGGGACGGCTGCAGCCCAGGCGGGGATCGGGTGGGACCACCGGGACTGGAGAGGACCGGGCCGCCCTAAGTGGCCGCCCTGCCTGCCGTGGGCTGCTGAAGGAGAGCGTAGGGCAGGAGCCAGCTCCCGGGAGCGGGGTTTGGGCCCCTGGGGGAGGGGTGGATGGTGTTGGGACCAGCCTCAGAAGCAAGGGGGTGGGGAGCGCAGAGAAAAGGGGGGTTGGTCTGGGCTGAGGGGAAAGAGTGTGGCTTGAGGATAGGAGAGGCCGAGACGGCTTGTGGACCGCCCAGGACAGGTGCCGAGGGCCGTGAGGCTGGGGTGGTCCTCTGGGGACTGGGAAAGTGCTCCGGGGTCAGGAGGAGACTCTGACGTGAGAAGGGAGTCAGCTGAATAGAAAGAAGGGGGAACAGTCGGGATCGGGCTATCCCAGACCCGGAGGCCCTTTTCTTATAACTTAGAGCCCACTCCTGCCTCGTTTTCCCCAGGGGTGGGCTGGGCTCAGAGCATCCTATTCCTGGGCCGTGGCGTTTACACTAGCTACTGCTCCAACAGATGGAAGACTGTCCCTCGCCCAGGCCTCTTGCAGCCTGTTTATCCCGCCCCCTCCCCTTCCTAGGTAGTGGGAGGCATGGTTCTTAGTACGAGCAGCGGCCAGCCAAGGATACAGGGAATCAGGTGCCATCAAAAATGACTTTAGGCCGTGGACGGAGGGCGGAGAAGTGGGAAACCCTGTGAAGGAGATGACGCTGAGGTCCCGGGGTCTGCCAGCATCTGGAGCGGGAGCCACGGGCGCCTAGAACCGTGCCAGGTAAGAGGAATTCTTGGCCCCCCCAGGTGTCTGCAGTGGGGAGCTGTCTTGTGTTCATCGCTTGAGCCGATGGAAATCTGCTCCACAGAAACAAGTGGAAGCTTGCTGGGCGTGGCGGTGCACGCTGGTCATCTCAGCACAAGTGTGAGGCTGGCCTGGACTCCGTCAGATCCTGTCAGATCCTGTCTCAAAAAAAAAAAAAACAAAACAAAACAAAACGGAAAAAGACAGAGCTTAATTATTCAAGTCTGTGGGTCCTTCACCGGTTGGAATTTTTGGTGCCGTCATTGTTTGCTCCCATGAACATGATGTGGAGAGCTGTGTGGACCTTGTGGTTGACCAAAGCAGTCATTAGTGTCTTTCAAAAGGGCCCGTTTCTTTTTACATTCCTGGGCTACGGTTACAACCGGAGCTGGAGTTTTATAGGTACTAAGACTTCAGAGAGAAGCCCAGCTATTTAGTGAGCTCCTGCCTCCGAAAAGGAAAAGGAAATAACCGTGAAATGTGTCATTTATGTAGCCTATGCATTCAGTAAACATTTACTGAAGACTGCCTGTGGACCAGCATTGAGCCAGCATTGGTCCCATCATACCTGAGTGAGAGCAACCGCATGGTTCCCGTCCACCATGGCAGAGGGATGAGCCAGAGAGAGCTGCAGGCGGTTAGCAGGTTTCAGTTAGGTAAGGGGAAAAGAGAACCAAAGGGGGACGAGCAGTCCGGGAAGGCTTCATCACGGGAGCTGACTGTAGATTTGTCTTAAGGAGTATTTTGCCAGCTGGGCAGTGAACAGGTGGCGTTCAGGAAGAGGGACGGTGGGCAGTAATGGCAGAAGCACCTGGGATCTTGGAGCAATCGGATGCTTCTGGCGCCTGACAAAGAGGTGGGAGGAGCAAGCAGGGACTGGGGGTGAAGGAAGTGAGGGCCCATCTTTTGGAAAACAGTGTTTCTAATTTTTTTTTATGAGGCCGTGGAACCTATAGTTACTTTTTTGGTGGGTGGTTTTGTTTGTTTGTTTAAGTGGGGGAGGGGCCACGGGACTGCCTCAGCGCAGGAATGTGTCCCTGAGACAGCCACCTGGGAAGTTTGAGGCAGGAGGATCGGGAGTTTGAGGCCAGCCTGGGCAGCTTAGCAAGATTTTGTGTCAAAAGAAAGACTTCCCCAACGGAAGCTTCTCTAAGGGGGTGTAGCTCAGTGGCAGAGCTCTGGCCTCCCTGGCAGCAGGCTCTGGATCCCAGCCCCGGCACCATAGAAACAAAGCCAAACCAGATGGGAATGGGAAAGAGGGCTGGATTCCAGCTCCTCTCTTCCTTGGCAACTGTCTAGGAAGTTTGCTGATGGCTCCTTTGCTGTATTTTCCCTCTGTCTGGAAGATAGCAAGCAGGCTTGTGTTGTGCTTTTCTGCTCGGTGGGATTTGGTGTCTATAAACAACAAAGCGGCCTTTCCCGCACAACCAGAGGCAGGACAAAGGTGTGGCTGGTGTTTACTTTTTTTTTGGGGGGGGGGGGCTGGCAGTGCATTTTTTTTTTTGTTACTGGTACTGCATTCGCCATCCTCCAACTTTGTGGGATTATTCTTTTCTTGGGAAAAGCCTAACTCAATAAGCACTGTCTTGCAAAATGGCGTTGCACAGAAAGCTACGCCACTTTCTCAGGATGAAGCAGAGAAGGGTGGGGTTCAGGGGCTGTGTCTTAACTGTTTGCTTCTGAGGTTTATCTTTTTCCTTCTTCTTTCTCATCTTTTTCCTCTTCTTCACTTCCTTCTTCCTCTTCTTCCTTTTCTTCTTTCTCTTCCTCTTCTTCTTTCTTGGACAGTTTATCACTATGTAACTCTGACTGTTCTGGAACTTGCTTTGTAGACCAGGCTGACAACAAACTCACAGATATCTGCCTGCCTCTGCACCATGCCCAGCAAATTTATTTATGTTTTTAAAACTACCCATCTCTTCCAGGCTTGGTAGCAACTCAGGAGGCAGAGGCAAAGCTCTCTGAGTTCCAGGACAGCCAAGGCCACACAGAGAAATTTGTCAAAAAACAAAAAATAAAACCCTAAGTCTTCATCTAATTGTCAGGATTATTGGCTTGTTATTTCTTTGCTTTTCTTTTTTTCCTTTGAGACAGAGTCTCACTATGTAGCCCTGATATCCAGGAACTCATTCTGTAGACCAGGGTGTTCTTGAACTCACAAAAATCCTCCTGCATCTGCCTCCCAAGTCTGGGATTAAAGGCATGTGAATTTGTTAGCGAGGGTTTATGGGACACACATGTGTGGTCCAGCTGGCCTCTAGGGGAGAGGCAGAGGCTGATGATACCAATTCAGTGTCACGAGCCTCCAAAATGGCACTTTAAGCCATGGTGGTGGTGGGGGGCTGATGTTCTGTGAGAAGAGCGCCCTAGAATTAAGGAGGGCGGTGGGGAGGTCAAATGGATACACCTTCCAGGTTGGAGCAGGAGGAGGGTCTATGCCCAAGCAGTGGTGTTGGCTGGGACTCTAAAGGCTCAGGAGTCCTCAGCCTTGGTGGATTCAGTTTAGAGCAGTAAGACACATTGGAAGGGTGAAGGTTGGCTTCCTGCCAGCAGGTAGCTGAGGCCCCGAGTAGCTTATCAGGGCCCCCAGCTTTGGGCTGAGTCCTTAGAGGTTTGTGTGGTTGGGACTTGGGGAGGACAAACCTTATCAGTGCCCTCCCCGGGCGGCTTTGTCGTTAAATCTGTCCTCATACACCCAGATAGCTTCCCAGACCCACGTCCAAGGAGGCTGGTGTTGTCTATCAGTCTGGGAGCTTCTCTGAGGTGGGGTGAGGGAGCCACTTTCCGTGGCTCCATCTAAAACTCCCGGCCAACAGGTGTGCCCAGCAAATGGCTCACCTTTTGTGAAAAAGGACATCTCCAGGCTCAGTGAGAGGCCCTGTCCCAGGGGAACAAGGTGGGGAGCAGTAGGACACCTGATGCCCTCCTCTGCCCTCTGTGCTGTGAGTGCCACAGTTCCTTTAATGATTGCACCTTGACCCCAAAGATTTTGGTCGAGGGTTAGAGGGATAGCTCAGTAGACGAGGGCACCTACCTGTAAGCCCAACGCGCTGAGTTCCATCCCTGGGACCCATGTGTAGAAGGAGAACTGACCTGTAAGTTGTGTTCTAGCTTCCCTACGCCCCATGGCGTGTAAATAAAAATAAAGAAGTACAAAGGAGGAGGAGGAGGAGGAGGAGGAGGAGGAGGAATGAGATGAAGGATAGGCTTTGGTCAACTCACAAATAGTCTCAGACTTGAGGCAGGATTTCATCCTGATTCAGGTTTCCACAACTTCTGTTCCACGGGCCAAGATATTTGCAGGTGGCTACTTTGTGCAAAGTAAATCAAGGGGTGGAAGAAAGATGGGTTGTGGCCGGCACATCTGTCCCGGTGGACTCTCGGGGGCCTCCTTAGCTATTGATGTGAGTCAGCTCTCCTCCATAGGCCACTGCTCTGTATTCTACTCTAACTGTGAAGGTGGTCGGGTGATTTGGGGGGTATAGGTGTGGGCGTAATATTATGGTGCACTGTGTAACAACTCAGATGCTAATTTTTGTGCACCCATTATCCTGCTGCAGTCCTTGTTCTGAGAATCTCCTGTCTCAATGGTGTGTAAACGCTGCTCTCCAATTGTCCCCTGATGTGTCGATAAAGAGGCTTGACAGTCAATGACTGAGCAGGGGTGAGAATAGGGCTGGACTTCCTGCCAGCCAGGGAAAGAGGAGAGAGAGAGAGACTTTGGGGATTCCGCCACGAGGAGAGGTCCAAGAAACATCAGCAGAGAGCAGCTGGAACAGAAAAAGCCATCAAGTGCCAAGTATCTTGAAGATTTACACTGGGAGGAAACCAGATTAGCTTAGAGGGTTAAAAATCAATTAATACTGCTCAGTTCTTGTGCCTTAAAACTTAAGTAAATAAAATTGCCCAGTCTCAATTATTTGGGTACTAGCTGGGTTAAGAGAGAAATTACAACAAGGCTCTGTAGCCTTGTTGACCTAGAACTCAATGCATAGACACAGCTGCTCTCAAATTCATTGCAGTCTCCTGACTCAGATGCTGAGAAGGTAAGCATGACATGCCACGCCTGGCTAGTGGTAGTTTTTATTTTGTTTTGTGTTGGGATTGAATCTCAGGCCTTGTTCATGCTAGGCAAGCTTCCTACTGCTGAGCTACATCTTCAACTCTGTTTGTTTCAAGACATGGTTTCTCTGTGTAGCCTTGGCTGCCCTGGACTCACTTTATAGACCAGGCTGCCCTTGGTCTCACAGAAACCTGCCTGCCTCTGCCTCCCCAAGTACTGAGATTAAAGGTATATGCTACCCACTGCTGGGCAAGCTTCAGGTTTTCTGTGCTGGATGTTATTCTTGCTTTGTGCTTCATTCCTCCCTCTTGGAACGAGAGCATTCTCCCCTGTATGTGGAGAATGTGTAGCTCATTTTTGTTTGTTTCACAGAGGCTCACAGTTAAGACTCCTGAGTTTCCCTGGAGATGACATAGACTTTTGATGTTAGAACTGCTAAGGATCTGGAGATGTTTAGAGATGACTTAGATGCATTTTATATTATATGTTTGGGTGTCAGGTTGATAAGGGCTGATGATTAATATTTGCTGATTTGGCGAGACTTAGAATCACGTGAGGGTTCTCGGAGAGGTATAACGGAAGAAACCCATCCTGGGATGGGGTCCTAGACCGAGTGAAAAGGGGGGAAAGGAAGCCAGCTGAGCCCACGTGTTCCATCTGTTTCTGCTTCCTCTCTCTAAATTCAATGTGACCAGCACCCCACACACCCACCACCATGGCTCTCCGGCCGTGATGACCCTATTCCCTCAAACCCTGAGCCAAAATGAATCCTTCCTCGAGCTCACACAAACTGTCACCACGACAAGAACAGTAGCTAATACACAAAGACACTATAAGAAGATAATTGTAAATATAGATGGAGTAGTTTGAGGGAAGGCTTGCTAATTAAAAAAAAAAAAAAAAAAAAAAAAAAAGGAAGAGGTGCTGGAGAGATGGCTCAGCAGTCAGGAGAACTGTCTGTTCTCCAACAGGACCAGGGTTTACTTCCCAGCACCTACTTTAGGGCTTATGACGGTAACTCCAGTTCAAAGACTCCAGTACCCTCTGCTGGCCTTTGTGTGCATTGCACGCACGTGGTGCAGATACAGATATGCAGACAAATGCTCGTGCACATAAAGATTTAAAAAAATAAATTTATTTAAGTAAATCTTTAAGAAAAAAAAAAAAAAGCAAAACAAAGACCTATGTGGTAGGTAGCAAATGCCTGGAGTCCCCAGACTCAGAAGGCTCAGGTGGAAGGATCTTGAGTTCAGGGACCCCTTGAGCTCTATGTAGTGAAATTGTCTCCAAAAGTCAGAAGGAGACAAAATAGTACATTTCCTGTGTTTGCCTTCGGGGCGTAGGTCTTTCCCACCCCTTCTCCGGGAAGTCATCCTGGTGTTTTGGCTAAAGAGTCAAAGAGCATTGAGCGTGAGAGGAGCAGAGAGGCCAGGGCATGGTGGGGAGCTTGGTACCGATGACCTAAAAAAGGAGCCAGAGGAGCCCCCGTGACTTCTAGGGGCCCCTTCAACTTCTGGGTGTGCCTTGTACCTACACTGTCAAGAGCCCCATCGAGTATCTGGTAGAGGCCTCCTACCCAGGGAAGGGTAGGCGTGACAGCCTTGGCCACTACAGCTCTCTGATACAGGATAGGGTGAAGCCAGACAAGAGCCTACTTGCCACTGAATCTGTGTGTGTGTGTGTGTGTGTGTGTGTGTGTACGTGTGTGTGTGTACTTTTGCTTGCACAAAGTACAAAATTATACAGGTCAACTTTGGATGTTTTTTCTTAGGAGACATCAACCTTGGGCTTTGTTTTTAAGTTTTTTTTTTTTTTTTTTTTTTTAATTTTATGCATATGAGTGTTCTGTCTGCATGTACACCTGCAGGCCAGAAGGCACCAGATCACATTATAGATGGTTGGGAGCCACCATGTTGTTGCTGGGAATTGAACTCAGGACCTCTGGCGGAGCAGCCAGTGCTCTTAGCCCCCGAGCCCTCTCACCAACACCCCACCTTGTTTTTTGAGTCAGGTTCTCTCTCACTTGGCCCTGACCTGCAGATTAGGATAGGCTGGCTGATAGCCAGTCCCCAGGACCTGCCTCTCTCTGCCTTCCAGGGCTGGGATAACAGATACCACCAGGCCTGCCTTCCCCTGTGGGATTGCACTCAGCTCTCAGGCTTACACAGAGACCACTTTACCCACTGAGCCATCTTCCCTGGTGGGGGAGTTTTTCTGCTACTCAACCTCATCATTGCCAAGTGGACCGAATTCTCCTCCTTGTAAACCCCAGGCATCCAGGGGCTGGAGAGATGGTGCAGTGGTTAGAACACATGCTGCTCTTCCAGGGGACATGCGTTCGGTGCCCAGGCTCACAACTGTCTGTACCTCCAGCTCCAGGGAATCCGATGCCTCTGGCCTCCGAGAACACCTGCACTCCCCACGTACAGAAACACACACGCACCTAAACATAACTTAAAATAAATCTTAGCCAGGCGAGGTTGCAACCCAGCGTTCAGGGAAGCAGAGGCAGTCAGATCTCTGAGTTGGAGGCCAGCCTGGTCTACAAAGCGCGTCCAGGACAGCCAAAACAACAACAAAAAAAAATTGACCAAACAAAACATCTGAAGCATTCTGTGGGTAGAGCGCCATAGCCCCTATATCTGCATGTCTGAAAAGGGAGCTCTCTCCCTATGCCAGCCTGCTCCTTCTGCGTAGCTGGGGCTTGGCACCATTCTGTCAACCAAGGAGTAAGCTCAGCATAGAGGCCTTGGAGTCAGCCCCGGGAAGAATAACCCTTGTGCCCAAGGCAATGTGTGGCAGAAAGAGGTCAGTGGGTCAGCCTGCTCCTTTGCCCTACCCAGGATTCAGAACATAGCAGAGCTCTCCGCAGCTGCCAGGGCTGCACTGAGATGCAGGTGTAGCTAATGAGGCTTCTGGGCCAGGGATGATCCTGCTGTTTGGGTCTAACATTGCCCAAAGGCTTGAGATTGGGCAGTCAGTCATCAAGGCAGAGAGCCCAGCTCCATCTGAGATCCGTGGCCTTTTTTCCTTTTCAGGTCGGTGGGGGTTGACTGGCTTTGGAGGAAAGCCACTGCGGTGCAGGCGTGGATGGAGAGCAACAGGAGAGCCAGAGCAGGGGCGGCAGCAGTCGGCAGAGCCACCGTCTGGGCTGCTCTGAGAGTAAGTAGAGAGTGTCCGATTTTCTCTATGTCTGAGGCCTCTTCCTCCAGCCTGGCTGCTGCTCTTCAGGCCTCCAAGGCCTGCACACTACCTCCAGTTTTAAATCTGAATAAACCCCAGCCCCTGACTTGTCTGTAGTTCTGCCAAAATGAAAACGTCCCCAACACGACTTGAGATCTGCAGCCCTACTCAAACCCAGGGGCACAGGCCTCCAGCTGCCGACCCTGACCCACCCGCTTCCCATCGTGGGAAGAGCTCCCACTCCGGAACCCAACCTTGTGGGCCAAGGCTCTTGACTCCTTGAACTTCTAATAGACTGATGCAAGTGCCTTCCCCCAGGGCGGGGCCAGGAAGTACAGCGGTTATTCTGCCAGCTCAGGAAGTCCTAACGAGGATTTGCCTCTGGCTGAAGCAAGAAGGTAGATGGAAGAACAAAAGCAGATATTCGTGTTAGTCTCTGGAGGTCCCCAGAGGTGCTCTGAGCACTCTTCCGCTTCGGGGGGGGGGGACTAGGGCCAGGAGGTAAGGAGAGAATCCAGAGCCCCCATCTCAGAAGCCCCCACTGTAAGACCTCTGAAGAAACAGACAAAGGAGGCCCAACTGCCAAGAGAAGACTTTGCCTCAGGCAACTAAATTTATTAGCAAGAAAAATTTTTGTCAGCCCAGTACTGACCAACAAATACATCGTTAATAAAGGGTAACAAATCTGTCACTTAATTAATAAAACATCCTCAAGCAGTTACAACAAAAAATAAAGTTGGATTTTTGTTTAATTTAAAAGCCTCAAAAATAACAAGCAATATGTTTTGTTTTGTCTTTTTTTTTTTTTAAAACATGTCGTAGACACAATCGTCTATTATACAATATACACTATACACAGTAGAGCTTGGGCAGGTAGGGTGATGGGGTGAGGTGTGGAGAGGGTCAGGATGGAAGGCGTTTTCGTGTGAGTCCAGAGCTGAGAGTTGAAATGTTGTGTCACTTAGAAAAGAAAGAATTGTTAAAAGTGAGAGGGGAAGAAAAAAAAAAAAAAAACCCTCCTATGCTGAGCATTGCTCCCCAAACCCTAAACTGAAGGCAGGCGAGGGGGTGGGGGAGGCAACCAGCAAGGAAAGGCAGGGAGCAATGAAATAAAATGTCTTTAAAGCACACACGTACACAGTGTTCATCATCTGAAGTGTGAGTATAAGGCAACCGTTCTCCGTAGAAAAGACGGAGTGGGAGGAGTCCGCCGGCATCTGACCTTTCGAATGGGAACTTGGAATGTCTGGAGAGCCGTGGCAGGGCTGGGCAGTGGAGTGGAGGCAGCCTCCCAGCCCTCCACAGAGGTGGGCATCCGTGGGAGGCTGGGTACAGGGCCCAGGGGGTCCCTAGTGGCCAGGGGGGAGGCAATTGAGGGGACGAGGAGGCACAGGATTGGGGGGCATGGCACAATGGGACTCCGGCAGTGGGGGGGGGGGGGGGGGGGGGGGCAGGGCTCACTTTGCTCCTCGACGGAGTGAAATGCATGTTTTTCCTTTGGAAATAAGGGTCCCCATGCGTCCTGGTTTAGAACGTCTCATTGGGCATGGCCAGTGTCCATAGCCTGGGCAGGCCAGGAGCTCATGGTGAGAAGGGAAGGGCCTTGGGGAGGAGGAGAGCATGGGGGTAGAGCCCCTTCCTGTGGAAACACAGCCACAGACAGGAGTCAGGTGAGGGCCGCCCAGGGCAGTGTGGGCTCCTGTCCACCATGGACCCAGGCCAATCAGATGGGGGGGAGGTGTTCCACCTTCACGGCCTCCTGCCTCAGTTGGCCTTACAAGTTCTTTGTGACTAGGTGGGTCTTGTAATGCTTGGTGAGGTGGTCGCTCCTCATGAAGCGCTTCTGACACTGGGCACACTCAAAGCGCTTGTCCCCTGGGGAGAAGAGAGAACGGTTACCAGAGCCCATGTACAGACACTGCCCCGGCCCCAGAGAGAAGCAGCACACTCGTCAGCCCCTGAAGAGCCAGCCTGGCCTCATCTCCACATTCTGCCAGCACGTCCCTCCCTGCCCTCTGCTGGTCCGCACCTCTCCGCCCTTCTAACCTACCTCGCTCCCGTCGGTTCCATGTCCCTTGCCTGTGCTGCTTGTCTTTGAATCCCTGCACACTTGCTTCATTCCGGACTGTGTCCCTTGGGCTTTAAACCTTGATCAACACCTCCCTCCTTGCAGGAAGACATCCTCAGGCCTGAATACCTACAGAGCCTGGACCACAGCAACCCAGCCTATGGCAGGGTACTTATGCTCTGCCTCTGAGGGGGTATGATTCAGCCAGGAACTGAAACCTTGGGGCACATGGTCCCCACCTCCGTCTCTGCCCAGCAGGGCATCGTTCACTACAGCAGTTGCTGCCCGTGTGCCCAGGATAACTTTAAGGTACCTTTCTGTAGTTTGCCCTGTATTTGTTAGCACAGTAAAGCGTGTAACGGTGACAGCAACCTTAATAGCAAACCTTTGCTGCTATCAAGGCAGGCCTGCAGTAAACCAGGCATGTTAGAGCAGGCCTGTAATGCCAGCATTTAGGAGACAGGAGTGCCGTGAGTTTAAGGCAAACCTCGGCTCCACAGCAAAACCTTGTCTTAATAACAGCTGGTGATTCACACCTGTAACCCCAGCAGTTGCGGGTCTGAGGCAGGGCTGCCGCACGCTCAAGGGCAGCCAGGAACACAGCAAAATCTTGTCATCACCCTTTCCAAAAAGGGGCGGGGCAGGCAAAAGAGGGCAGGGAAGCCAGGTGGCTTAGTTCAAGATGGTTCACAGAAGGCCGAGTCAGAAGGATCTGATGCCCTCTCCTGGTATGCAGACAAAATGCCCACGTTCATAAAATACAGAAAGGAATTTTAAAAGGGAGGGAGAGCTGAGGCTTCCTCGCAGAAGCAGTTGTCATTCTGCACTGGGGGTAGTGAGAGTTCCCGGCTTTCTTCCTCCCTGATGACCTCCTGGCATTTCATGCATTTGGCTTGTCCACTTTCGGGAGACCCCAAGAGGGAGGACGAGGCAGCCTAGTTTTCCCCCGAGGCCACAAACAAAGATTCCTGGGAGAGTTTCCTGCTAACAGGATTAGAATCGTAGGCACAGCCCCAGCAGCCATTTAAAAAAAGAAAAAAAAAAAGGAGGGGGGGCAGGCTTGAGAGCCCAAAGGCCCAGGCCACCACTAGCTTTCTCCAAGCCTCAGCAGAATGGATGTCACAGCTACGTCTCCAAGGCCTTACTGGGGTTAACTTAATCGGAAAATGCTCAACAAGGGTCTGGCACGATTCACCAGTGCTTGGGGCAGCGTGGGGCAGGGTGGGGCAGGGCGGGGCAGGGCGGGGCAGGGCGGGGTGGTTTACTGTGGCTTCTGACACAATCTGGTGGTAGCCAGGCAGGCTCTGAATCCTGATCCCCTTGCCTCAACCTCTCTACTGTCAGGATGAAAGTTGCCCAGCTCAGTGCTTGTTGCACGGCAGCTCTGCAGAGGCGACAAGGGGTCTCCAAGGCTGTTCGGGGCAACCATCTGACGCTGGGCAGCATCTCGGGGGCTCGCAAGGACTCCCTGGGTGGTCTGGATGGGTGTAGAAGCTCCGGAGCAGGCAGGAGGCGCAGCTGGAGGGCACGGGGAGACACTGACCTGTGTGGGTTCGGGCATGCCGCTGGAGTTCATCGCTCCGGGTGAACCTCTTTCCACAGAAGAACCAGTTGCAGACAAAAGGCCGCTCGCCGGTGTGCAGGCGGACGTGGGCCCGAAGCAAGGACGTCTTCCGGAAAGTCTTTCCGCAGTCTGGGATGTGGCACACGTGCTTCTTCTTGCCTTGCTCCCCGGACCTGAGGGTGTTGGAATCAGAGTGGGGAAGGGAAGTTAGAAGAGGGAGGGGAGAGGATGGAGAGGCGTCATGGGAGGGCAGGAAAGGTTAGGAGCAGGAGTTGGGAGCTGCCACTTGTCCTGCAGAGTGACGTCTGGAGTGGGGCACACGCCAGGCTGGGCGTTTGGCCCTGGCTGGGAATTACCTCTTCTCCCCGTCCTTGCAGTTGGGACACGTGCAGGCCATTCGCCTCCGCTTCTCCCCAGGCTGGGCCTCCCCTGCTAGGGCCTGCTCCATCTGCAGCTGGATCTGGGTGGGGCTCAGCCCACTGATAGTCAGGTTGTTTCCAGAAACGTTCTGCACCGTCAGCTGCTGCTGCCCTGTGGGGGAAAGAAGGGTTCAGGAAAGGAGGCCCAGGCTAGCCCTTCTCTCCCTTCTGGACAGGTTAAGGATGTCACGGTGACTAATGTGCCAGAGGGCAGTGAGAGACCTAAGATTCTAATCCTGTTAGCAGGAAGCTCTCCCTGCCTCGTCCTCCCTCTTGGGGTCTCCTGAAAGTGGACAAGCCAAATGTATGAAATGCCAGGAGGTCATCAGGGAGGAAGAAAGCCGGGAACTCTCACTACTCCCCGGTGCAGAATGACAACTGCTTCTGTGAGGAAGCCTCAGCTCTCCCTCCCTTTTAAAATTCCTTTCTGTATTTTATGAATATAAGCATTTTGTCTGCTTATGTGTCCATATACCAGGAGAGGACATCGGATCTTACGGGACGAGCGAGAGACAGTTGTGAGCTGCCATGTGGGTGCTGGGAATTAAGCCCTGGCTCTGGGGGCACAGCCAGCTCTTAACCACTGAGCCATCTCTCCAGTCTCTCTTCTTCTTAATTTCTTCCTTCCTTTTTTAAATTTTTTTATTTTTTGAGACAGGGTTTCTCTGTGGAGCTCTAGACCAGGCTGGCCTCAAATTTACAAAGCTCCACCTGCCCCTGCCTCCCAAGTGCTGGGATTCAAGGCATGCCTTCACAGCATGTGTCATCATTAGCTCTCGCACAGCACAAGCTGGACCTACTGCTGCCCAATCTCAACTGCAGTCCTTCTCCTAAGAAGCCTTTGTTAGCTGGAAGGTGGTTGCTCATGCCTTCAATCACAGCACTTGGGAGGCAGAGGCCGTTGTGGTCTATAGAGTGAGTTCCAGGACAGCCAGGACTACACAGAGAAACCCTGTCTCAAAACAAGATGCCCCCCTCAAAAAAATGAAAAAGGGAAACCTTCCTCGCCTCCCTTTACGTGGTATGGCCCTTAGTCACCTGACCTGGACAGGTGTAATGGCTCTGGCTGTCCTGGAACTTACTCTGTAGACCAGGATTCCCATATGCTGAATACGAAACCCCGCTGCCAGTACCCTGGCCTCAGGACTCCCCCTCACCGCCAGTGTTGGTGATGGTGACAGGCACACCCTGGACTTGGACACCATTGATGTTGATGGTCTGCATGGCCTGGGCAGCTGCTGCCAGCTGTGCAGCATTCAGGCTGATGATGCTCCCAGCAGGCGCGATCTTTGGCAGGGGCCGCTCTTTTCGGAGGATTGCAGCTGAATGCTTTTTGCTGGTGCTACTCAGGTGGGGAGCTCGGAGTGCAGGGCTGTTACAGGTGGTGGTCGAGGTGGCCGAGGCTGTGGCTGGGGGGCTGTCCTGGACGAGGACTGTCTGTACCTCACCAGAAGGTGTACGGATGTAGACCTGAGGGACCAAGGAGAAGACAGTGCCCTGAGAGCAGTGGCCCCGGAGCCTTCCCTGCCCAAGGGAGTCCGGGACACCTCTGTCATCGTCCTTCAACTAGCCCAAACACGCCCCTGTGCACTACGGATGCCGACAGTGCCCTGCTCTAAACTGGCATGAGCTAGTTACTGACAATCAGTCCTTTAATTGCTTAGTATGGAAAAATACTGACTGCAAGATGTTGGCATTATGTTCTCGTGGAATGTATACAATTTACCCTGGTTCATTTGAATGCTGATTTCTCTATCCCACTCTGTGGTTTCAATCCGGACACTGCACTGTGACGTTTATTCTAAGCGTCACCTGTCTCAAGTTTGTGTAAACATGCCACCGTGTGTTCCCTTTATTGTCAGTTAAACATCCAGCCACAAGGCTGAGCAATGGAGAGAATAGGGTGGGGCATCCTGGTCTGGAGGGGAGAAGAAGGAAGCGAGTGGGAGGAGTCAGAGAGCACAGATCAGGAGAGGATTTGGAACTGGGAGGAGAGATGAACTGGACCCAAGATATGACTGAAAACAAGTATAATATGGGAAATCTGAATGGTAGGAAATGGGCTTGAGCAATTATTGCCCAGCATCGTGCTCTAGGTTAATTAAATAAATCCAAGTCTCTGTGTGGTGATTTGGGTATACAGCTGTTTAGGAATAACCACTGCTTAACTAAAGGATAAATCAATAATAAATATTAATAACCAACAACAGCAAAATCTCAAAATTGGAAGAGTAGCAAAAAGGCACAATAGCAGCATGGGCACAGAGTGACTTGGAAGACACTTAACCTTCATAGCAAAACCATCTTTAAAAAAGGAGGGGGCTGGAGAGATGGCTCAGTGGCTTAGGGCACTGGCTGCTCTTCCAGAGGACACAGATTTCCCAGCATCCACGTGGTGGCTCACGATGGTCTGTAACTCCAGTTCTAGGGGATCTCATTCCCTCTTCTGACTCCCTCAGACACCAGGCTTGCACACAGTATGTATACACACACACACACACAGGCAAAACACTCATACACATAATAAAATAATAAATCTGAAAAAAAATTAATAGGAACAGGATATTTATCTTATCCCAAAATGTTGTCTCTTCAAAATACTAATGAAGTACAAAGGAAGAAGAGTAAATTTTATCTCCAGTGTGGTGTGTGTGTTATGTCTGAGAGCATGGCTGCACATGTGCTGCGGCGCACTTGTGAAGTCACAGGGCAGCCTGAGGTGTGAGTCCCCGCCTTCCACCTTGTGTGAGACAGGGCCTCTTGTTCACTACTGAGTATGCCCGGCTGGCTGCTCCTGAGGCTTCTGGCGGGTCTCCTGTCTGTGAGCACTGGGATGGCAGATACAGGCCACTGCAAACAGCTGTGTGTGGCTCCTGGGAGCCACACTCTAGTCCTCACGCTGGCATGGCATCCATCTCACCCACGGAGCCATCTCCCCAGACACAAAGAGAGTAAGCGTTAAGGTACAGAAATCTGTCAGGCCTTGCCACTGTAACCATCACCAGCAATGGGACAAATAAAATCTCAAACCATCTTAGGACACAGACACACCCACTCTGTGACACTTCAGAAAAATCACGGACAACCTGTAGACAGAGTCAGGACATTCAAAACAACTAGCCTGGGGCCTTCGAAAGCAAGGTCACCACAGTCAAGTTAAAGAGGAAGTGGGGCTGGGGAGGTAGTTGAGGTCATAGTGCCAGCCTAGGATCCCCAGAGCCTGGGGCTTAATTCCCAGCCCCATGGAGGTGGGGGTGTGAGGAAGTCTTTCAGATGAGAGACTGGAGAGATGTGACAACTGAAATAAAAGCGGGCAGTCCTTAGACCACGCTGGAAACACTGAGTGGAGCCTCCCCACGAAATACCTGCATTGCCCTCCATACCACGGCGCTGCTCACAGGATTGGTGGCTGTCATGTGTACAGAGAAAGGGCTGTGTGGGAGAATTAAACCATCTGGAAATGACAGGAGGATCGTGGTGGCAAGTTATATTTAAATGATCCAGGGAGAAAAAAATTCTTTGTAAAAAAAAAAAAAGTTCAGCTGTGGGCTGCAGAGATGGCTGTTCTTCCAGAGGTCCCGAGTTCAGTTCCCAGCAACCACATGGTAGCTCATATCATCTATAGTGAGATCTGGTGCCCTCTTCTGGCGTGCAGGCAGAGCACTATAAATAATAAATCTTTAAAAAAAAAAAAAAATGCCGCTGTGAGCCAGGCGTGGTGACACATTCCAGGAGACAGAGGCAGAGGCAGGCAGATCTCAGTGAGTTCAAGGCCAGCCAGGTCTACTCAGCCAAGGTTACACAGAGAAACCCTGTCTCCAACAAAGCAAAAAAAAAAAAAAGAAAAAAAAATTTCAGCTGTGATTTTAATTGGGGTTATTTTTAATTCCTGGATTACCGAAGACTGTTTTCAGCTAACTCATTACACACTAACCTGCCATCCCTTAATAAATACAGAAATGTCTTTTTCCCAGTTCTCTAGTAGGGCCTCTCATTTTAAAAATCTTACCATTTTATACTTGTCCTTTCTTTCAGTAAGTAAACAGGTGCCCTATGGCTGCTGGGCATCAAACATGGACCCTCTGGAAAAAGCAGCCTCTCATTCACTGACCCATCCCTGCAGCCCCTTGTTAAACCCCACTAAAGTCCGCTGAAGTCACTGGGCCGGGTGACACTCAGGTCGGTCCTCCTGCCGAGGTTACAGGTGGGCATCACCACGCCTGACTACGTTTTAAAACTTTTATTCTGGGCACTCCTTCTCATGGTCATTTCCCTGTAAATATGCAGAGACGCTGGGGAATGGGGCCTTTTGACTCGCCATGGCTCCTGGGATCTCCTTTACTGCCCTGGCAGCCTTGAGCAACATTAGGCTCCAAAAAAGGTTCTCTCAAATCGTCTGCTCTTATCTGCTTTCGGAGTGGGCTCAGCTGGTAACATAAAGAAACAAGCAGCAGCTGGGCGCTGGTGGCTCACACCTTTGATCCCAGCACTGGGGAGGCAGAGGCAGGCTGATATGGGTATAATGCCAGCCTGGTCTACAGAGTGAGTTCCAGGACAGCCAGGGCTACACAGAGAAGCCCTGTCTCTTGAAAAAAGAGAGAAAGAGAGAGATTGAGAGAGGAAAAGAGAGAGGAAGGAAGGAAGGAAGGAAGGAAGGAAGGAAGGAAGGAAGGAAGG